TAGTAGTCTACCGGAGTGCTCCTATTGGCAATAAAAGCGAAAAGCTGACTTTGAGCGCCGATATCTCGAAAACTATCTGTCCTATATGGCTGATTATGGTCTCATTCGATTCAGCGTGTCATTTTCTACTGGATAAGCAATAATTCGCGTGGATTTCCGCCGTTTTCTGGCACTTTAGGCCGTCCGAAGATGGCTCGGTGAATATATCGTACGGAAGTCTCAGGTGGGAAATTGAAAATTTTTATTTGGCCTATTAAAAATCTGAAAAAATTCACATAGACTAATTCGATGTCGTAATGAACGAATCTGTGTTGGAAATCGGTAAATTTTGTAAAATAGAGACGTAGTAGCCTACCGGAGTGCTCCTATAGGCAATAAAAGCGAAAAGCTGACTTTGAGCGCCGATATCTCGAAAACTATCTGTCCTATGGGGCTGATTATGGTCTCAGTCGATTCAGCGTGTCATTTTCTACTGGAAAAGCAATAATTCGCGTGGATTTCCGCCGTTTTCTGGCACTTTAGGCCGTCCGAAGATGGCTCGGAGAATATATCGTACGGAAGTCTCAGGTGGAAAACTGAAAATTTTTATTTGGCCTATTAAAAATCTGAAAAAATTCACATAGACGAATTCGATGTCGTAATGAACGAATCTGTGATGGAAATCGGTAAATTTTGTGAAATAGAGACGTAGTAGCCTACCGGAGTGCTCCTATTGGCAATAAAAGCGAAAAGCTGACTTTGAGCGTCGATATCTCGAAAACTATCTGTCCTATATGGCTGATTATGGTCTCATTCGATTCAGCGTGTCATTTTCTACTGGAAAAGCAATAATTCGCGTGGATTTCCGCCGTTTTCTGGCACTTTAGGCCGTCCGAAGATGGCTCGGTGAATATATCGTACGGAAGTCTTAGGTGGGAAAATGAAAATTTGTATTTGGCTTATTAAAAATCCGAAAAAATTCACATAGACTAATTCGATGTCGTAATGAACGAATCTGTGATGGAAATCGGTAAATTTTGTAAAATAGAGACGTAGTAGCCTACCGGAGTGCTCCTATAGGCAATAAAAGCGAAAAGCTGACTTTGAGCGCCGATATCTCGAAAACTATCTGTCCTATGGGGCTGATTAAGGTCTCATTCGATTCAGCGTGTCATTTTCTACTGGGAAAGCAATAATTCGCGTGGATTTCCGCCGTTTTCTGGCACTTTAGGCCGTCCGAAGATGGCTCGATGAATATATCGCACGGAAGTCTTAGGTGGGAAAATGAAAATTTTTATTTGGCCCATTAAAATTCTGAAAAAATTCACATAGACTAATTCGATGTCGTAATAAACGAATCTGTGTTGGAAATCGGTAAATTTTGTAAAATAGAGACGTAGTAGCCTACCGGAGTGCTCCTATTGGCAATAAAAGCGAAAAGCTGACTTTGAGCGCCGATATCTCGAAAACTATCTGTCCATTGGGGCCGATTATGATCTCATTCGATTCATACTATAATTCCAGACGATTTGACCGGGACCCAAAAACCCATAAGAGCGGTGCGGGGTCCTTTTCGTTTGACCCACACCAAATGTAGAGCAGTTAATTCATTTTTATTATTGTGTAAATTGAAATTGTCATCGATGAAATACCAAATATAACCAATTTGATGAATCAAAAGGGAAAGGATCGATTAATTTTTATTATTTATGTTGACCCCCGGTGGAAACAGTTCTTGTCTACGCCTGTGGGAACAAGTCGAACAAGCAAGGCAGACAAGCTTTTCGTGTTCCGGCCAATTAACAATGAAATCGTCAAGAGATTTAATTGACCGTGAGTCATTTCGGTTTTCTTATACACATGACTCTGTGACAAAGCAAAAAATGTCCCTCGTCTTTATTGTTGTTACGTGAGGAAATCCATTTTTGCAATAAACATAAGGAAACTAATGAAATGAGAACATTTCATTGAGGTAGCAAATGTTTTTGTTAAGGTTAATGACATTTTTTCATTATTCTCTCATCAACCTCTAAAAACTTTTTTCTCAATCTAATATCTAAACTACTCAACACTAATTTCGTCGCACACCAAAATGTCGCCCCTGTTATAATGTGAATAACTTTTTTCAGTTTAGAACAATTTGAATTTGGTTCACACTGTTCGATAGTCCAGTCCTTCAGCTATAATCTCGTACTTCATTGAAACATAAGGGTATTCACATGAAATCTCTACATGGTGTTTTCCGACACTGTGCAAAATTTCGGAATATTCAAAAGGTTCTCGAATGGTGAAAACATTTTTTTTCTCAACTTCGACAACAGAGGCATGAAGATGATCTCATTACTTCGAGATGTTTCGCGAATCAACTTCCTATCTCTCTTATTTACAGAGTGATCTCAAAAAATCAACTTCTTGGTTTTGCAGCCAGAACTTTTTTCCACGTCAACCGATTTTAAAAATCTTAGGCTCATTTTGAAGATAAAACTTCAGATGAAGAGATCTGAATATCAGAATTGACTCAAGATGGCTATCAGAGATCTAGAGTTTTCTTGAAAGTGACCCAAATCTGGAACGCCCTCTGAATCTCGGTTGGGAGGAGAATTGAATGAAAATCAACTTGTTCTCGGAAAAACAATTCATTCTGGATGCGTCCATATTTTCCTCGCTCTCAGTAGTCAAGAATTGTGCGTGAGAAAACACAATTGAAACATGTTCTTGCAAAAATATCAGACCGTTTCTCCTCTGTAATGCATGGCCCGTAACCAACGTTACAAGAATCACAATGGACTGACAATCCCGACTAGCTAAGGCTCATCATAAATGGTATACCAACAACCCTATGCGGTCTCGCATTGTCATCAACGAGAACAAAATTGTCACCCACATTCGCGTTAGATGCGGCATCGAAACTATCGAAATCTGTTTATGATTCGAAAACGACCTCTAACCTGACTTGTCAGTCACTTACTCTGATTGGCCTCAAAACATCATATCGGTCGATCCCTAGTTGTGTTGTCTCCCGACGCGTAGCGGAGGGAGACAAAAAACCGTTAGCTAAGATCTATATTTTTCCCGTGTGTAATACACTATTTTTTTCTGTGACAGAAGAAAGGACGAATCAATATTAAGAAGATATTACATTATCTTGAAATCTGAAAATTATCGACGTGAAATTTTAAGTTTTTAACAGTAGGGACACCTGTGTTGTAGGCATCTTTATCATTCTTTTGAAGTAATCAAATATCTGATGTCACTTCTGTCAGTCTAATTCTGTGATTTGATTTCAAAAAATTGCGAATTTAGTGGTTGTTTAGTAATATACGTAACCGCGAAGTCGAATGGAAGATAAAAGGACTTGCAGTTCTTTCTCGGAGACGGTATTATTGACTCATTTTTCGGAACTATAGCACAACAAAAGCCATCAACAGTGTATATACAGGGTGCTTCAGGTTTTGAGGCACAAACTGTAATGGGAGATAGATCTCATCATTTCGATCGGATAAGTTCATATAAACATTAGTCCGAACTCGTCCAGAAGCGGAGCTACAGGGGGTCAAAGTTCAATAATTTTGTTCTATTAATTGAAATATCTCGCTTACTTCTTGAGATTTCATTTTGAAATTTGGTGTGAATAATACTTCCTAGAAGATCATCATTTCAAGCTATTTGAAGATTTTTCAAAAACTACAGGGTGATAGGTTTTTGTGGGTAGAGGCTTCTTTATCCCTCCAAAAATTTTTCGTCGTACGCCTCTGGCTTCTTTCACTGATCAAATTGTGTGGATCGTTCAATTTAGAGGCTTTTTTGCTTCCTAATTCTTCTCGAGAAAACGAACCGTTTTTGAGATAAATGAGCATATACGTTCTAAGACATGTTAATTTTGCCTATGTTTCGCATAAATTTTATTCTTAGACAAAATTCGTTGGGAATACAATCAAATGTACTCACTGAAATTGCAATCACTGCAATACGGAGGGTAGGAAGACGAGTTTTTTTTTCAGTTAAATGAAATTTAAGCGAAACAGGCAAAATTAACATGTTTCAGAACGCATTTGCTCAACTATCTCAAAAACAGTTCGATTCTCGAAAAAATTGAAGGACAAAAAAGCCTCTAAATTGAACGATCCACACAATTTGATCACAAGAGATTTGAGAATCTTAAAATGGCTTGAAATGATGATATTCTAAATAGTATCGACCACACAAAATTTTAAAATGATATCTTGAAAAGTAAGCGAGATATTTCCCACTTACAAATATTGAAAAGAATCGGTATATAATTAAAAAACTCGTCCGGTATATTGGTTCCATCGTCTTGAATTTCCAAATCCCGCCCTTTCCAAACTTCAACAAAAGAAATCATAATCTCCGGCCCCGAAAACACCCAGATAACAATTTTGAAGAGAGTCGAATCATAATTACAATACTCGTCCGCCATATTGGGTCCGACACCTTAAATTTCCTAATTTTGACGAAATAATCATAATTTCCGACTCCAAGAACCACCAGATACCAAATTTGAATAGAATCGCATCCTAATTACAAAATCCGCATTTTGGATCCGCCATCTTGGATGTCTTAATCTTGACGAAGAAATCCTAATCCCCGATCACGAAAACCCCAAGGTACCAATTTTGAAAAAAATCGGATTATAATTACAAAGCTCGTCCGCCATATTGGTTCCGCCATCTTGAATTTCCAAATTCCGCCCGAATTTCCAAATTCTGACGAAAGAATCATAATCTCCGACCACGAAAACCCCCAGATACCAATTTTGAAAAGAATCGCACTATAATTACAAAACTCGTCCAATATATTAGATCCGCCATCTTGAATTTCCTGATGGTAGGGGGATATTAAGTATCCTATAACCTTCTCCTTGTCCTAAGCTACCTCCCCACCAATTTTCAGCCAAATCGATCCAGTAGTTTCGGTGCCTATTCAATTCATACAAACAAACAATGAAATCTTTCCTCTTTTTAATATTTAGTATAGATAAGAAAAATTGTGTTTTTTTTCAGTATACAGGTACGATTTTGCCGCCATATGATACGGCCCGCAAAAAAGAGCATTCGACCACCTTCAATACGGAGAGAGAAGCATGTCTGAAATATTTCGAAAAATGGAGCGAATCCGATCAAGTCGAATTCGTGGAGAATCTTCTGACGCGCATGTGCCACTACCAACACGGTCACATCGACTCCTATCTCAAGCCGATTCTGCAAAGAGATTTCATCTCTCTATTGCCCAGTGAGTCGAAAAGTCCATGTACCGTGTGGAATATTACAGAAATATTACAGAAACTTGGTTCAGATTCGAAATATATTTGTTTCATTAAGTAAAATTGATGCAACATTGATGCAACATTGATGCAACATTGATGCAACATTGATGCAACATTGATGCAACATTGATGCAACATTGATGAAACATTGATGTAACATTCCGGGAATATTGTAAATATATTTGAATGTTTGCCCTAAAATCTAACATAGAATGTTGCAGATACATTTTGAAAATATATTTGAATAAAATTGCAGAAAAAATATGCAATATTTAATTCATGTTTGAAATATTAGGCATATAGAAATATGAAATACCAATGATGTCTTCAATGTACCAAGTGATCTAATTATGCCAAATTAGTAGATGAGTGAATTTGTTGGTGAAACCTGAGCTGTTAGTGTATTATATTCATCCATCTTTTCCGAGGTACATTTTGTTCAGTTTGTACTATATCCAATATTGATTCAACATTTCTTAGAAATTATATGATTCATCCAAGAAACAATCGATTACTAGAGATGAATTTGTCGATGGGCTCAACCTAAATAATATTAGTGACATATTTTAGTACCTAACATTTCTAAGTATAGAAATTCCAATATACAAATACGTTTTTTCTGCAATATTTCTGCAAAACTGCAAATGCAATAGCAAAAATGTAATATTGTGGCAAGATTTGCCTTAATGACGTGCTAATATTCAAGGGGACGACACTTGGACCCTAACTTTCGAGATACAGGGTGATACAGTTTCCGGAAAAAATCTGGTTTTTATAACAACTGTAATATAGTTATCCTTGTAAGATTTGGTACTCGTCTTCAATGCATCGAAATACATTTTCTGATGTACAATCAATTGAGTAATTTGTACCAGTGGCGTCCATACAGTTTTCACATTGAATATTTTTGGAGAAAAAACCGGTACGTCAATGCTTCCTCTTGAAATTTCCATCAATTTATGAGCAACTTTGATCTCCTAAAAAGAAGTTTTTCACTTGAAATGGTTCCAAGAATTGCCCCCTCAAATATCAGCATGTCTTTAGGAAACACCCTGTATATATCTTTTTCTTCTTATTCAGAGAAAGGTTTGGATCATGTCGCAGAAAATATTTTGTCATATTTGGACGCGGAAAGTCTGAGGAACACGGAACTGGTGTGCAAGGAATGGTTTAGGGTGATATCGGAAGGCATGCTATGGAAAAAATTGATAGAAAGAAAAGTCAGGACGGACTCGCAGTGGCGGGGATTGGCGGAGAGACGAATGTGGTGAGTGTTTTTTTATCGATGTTGTTTTGTTTTTGAGTGCCTTCATTCTGGAGTTCACCTGAAGTTTGTTTTTTGCTCTTATAAAAGCATATCCAATGAAGGTCGCCAGAACTGGATTATGAAAAAACTCTGGAACACGTCAACTACATTTTTGAGGGGGACATCGTCCTAAAATGTTTTGAGCGCTGCGACGCTGCCGCTTCTATCGAAAAGTAGCAACAACTTTGATATTTCAAATGGAACACCCTGTATTTCATCGCATTGGTATATTCCCCCAGGAGAGCTAATTTCATCAATGCATCACACTTGGGGTCTAGCGGGAATGGTTACAGAGATGTAGGGTGTTCAAATTCGAGATTTTTCAACTTTAGGATTTTTTTTGTGGCAAAATTATTCATTATTGGTCAAAACGACTCCAGGTAGTCGCGCAGACGAAGCTTCAGTATTCTAATCCACGTTTGCTTGCCGGTCGTGGGTTCGATTCCCCGCGACGGCAGACATTTTTCTAATGGCCCAAGAAAGTGTTTGGGATCACACGTTAAAAGGTAAGGCCCCCGTCATTCCATGCTCGCACTAGAAAGAGTACTGTCTTATTGTTTTATCCTTTTTCACAAGTAGTGCACTTAACACACTCTCAGTCCCTATCTCACCACTCATGCATTGTTCTTAACTGAAATACCTGTCTAACCCAACGTAATTTGGCGTTTTTGTGGCGGTTTTATGTGTTTGTGACGTTTTTACGACGTTTTTGTGCTATTTCTGTGACGTTTCTGTTTAGCCCCGCCACTTAGTCCAGCCACTCGTTCAGAGGAACGAAATGGAACGAAAATGTCACGGAAATGGGTCAAAAACGTCACAAAACCGCCACAAAAACGTCACAGATCCGTCATAAAAACGTCACAGAAACGTCACGGGTTTGTCACAGCATAAAAAACGTCACAAAACTGCCAGAAAACCGTCACAGAATCGTTAAAGTACGTGGGGCTAGGCAGGTATATCATTTAAGAATAATGCATGGGTCATATAGGGGTTGATTGAGCTGAGAGTGCAGTAGGTACACTTCTCTCATACCCTCACAGCCATTTTATAACATATTTGTGGAGAAAACGAAAGAAAACCAGATGACGTAACATTTACGACACGAGCCTGCTCATGTAACTTTTTTCTCTTCTCCTACACACAGGACTCAGTACCTGTTCACACCAGGTTCGGGTGAGAACCATCGCCCCCACGGCTTTGATCGTTATAATCTGCGATATCGACGGCATCGAATCCAATTGGCGGAATGGCAAGCACATCTTGCAAAGGATCAATTGCATTATTCTATTTGAATTACAATTTAAAGTACAATTCGCAATTTCTATATTGATGACCGAGTTGATGACATAAAATTTACGACAAGTTTCATGGGAAATTTTACACTGCGGATGAAAGTACTGTCCACTTATTATATCCTTCTTCATAATTAACGCAGCTACCGCACTCTCAGCTCAATCGACCCCTATCTCACCCATGCATTGTTCCTAACTGGAATACCTGCCTAACTCAACGTAGTTTGACGATTCTGTGACGTTTTTGTGACGGTTTCATGAGGTTTTCGATGCTTTGAAAAACTCCTGGCGTTTCTATGACGTTTTTGTGACTTTTGTGTGGCGGTTTTGTGACGTTTTCGATGTTTTGACAAATCCGTGATGTTTTTGTGACGTTATTGTGACGTTTCTGCAACGTTTTTGTGACGTTTATGCTTAGCCCCGTCATTTAGGCCCCGCCACTCTTATTGTCGAGGGGAATGAAACGATATTGTCACGTAAAAGGGGTTTGCCAAGGCATCAAAAACGTCATAAAACCGTCACAGAAACGTCACAGAATCGTCAAAGTACGTCGAGTTTCAGTTTAGCATAATGCAATGGGTGAGGTAGGGGTAGATTTTGCTGAGAGTGCGGTGGGTGCACTACTTTTATACGCCATTCAAACAAAGGTGTCGTAAAATTTATGCCACGCGCCTGCTCATGTAACGTTTTCCGTTCTTAGGATCCAGTACCTGTTCAAACCGCGTCCGGGTGAAAACCATCGCCCCCACGGTTTTTACCGTTCCCTCTACCCCCGAATTATCCGCGACATAGACGGTATCGAATCCAATTGGCGGAACGGCAAGCACATCTTGCAAAGGATCAATTGCCGGTCGGAGAACAGCAAGGGAGTGTACTGTTTGCAGTACGACGATCAGAAGATCGTTTCCGGTTTGAGGGATAACACGATCAAGATATGGGACAGGAGTACGTTACAGTGCACCAAGGTGCTCATAGGGCATACTGGTAGTGTGCTGTGCTTGCAGTACGACGATAAGGTCAGTTTTTTTCGTATTTCGCGTTGATTCGGATTGTTTTATACTTCACATTGTTTTCATTTTCCATCACGTTCTTCATTTCGGTTTTTTCATGCAATTTCACTTTTCAAAAATATGTTTTCAACATGTGCATTTTTCGCTACCTGTACACTGGTTTTTTATAGGTTATAATTAGTGGATCTAGCGATGCGACTGTCAGAGTATGGATGGTCAATACCGGCGAAATCGCTAACACTCTGATACATCATTGTGAGGCTGTGCTCCATCTTCGATTTAATAACGGAATGATGGTCACCTGTTCCAAGGTAATTATCAATAATAATTCAACCCTGTAGATCAACGAATCCAAACATTGTTCAGAATTAGTGCTTTGAACTAGATCTGATACCTAGGAAAATGCTGTTTCGGGTCACAATGTATCATCAGTCGCACTCGGTCAGCACCCAAAAATCGTTCGTAGTTGAAGAATCGATTCGAATACAAAATTGCAGTATTGTTCGTTTTGACAGAGTGAATAGAACTAGATGTAATAACTAAGAAAATACTGTTTTGACTCACAATTCATTAGTGCAGTCATCGTAGCGTTGTTCTTCATGCAAGAATTTTGGTAAAGACCTAAAAAAGTGATGTTTCGGTACCCCTGGGCCCATCAGTCGTACTCGGTTCACATCTTTAAAAACCTTCAAACTGAACGAATTAGTGGAAAAATCGTGTTTTTCCTCACAGGATCGTTCGATAGCCGTGTGGGATATGACGTCACCGGCAGAGATAACCTTGCGGAGGGTGCTGGTCGGCCATCGAGCGGCTGTCAACGTGGTCGATTTCGATGAAAAGTACATCGTTTCCGCGTCCGGCGACAGAACGATCAAAGTGTGGAACACTTCTTCGTGCGAGTTCGTGCGGACCTTGAACGGCCACAAGCGAGGCATCGCTTGTTTGCAGTACCGCGATCGCTTGGTGGTAAGCGGTAGTTCCGACAATACTATAAGGTGAGTTTTTTCCTTCCCGAAAACGTTTTTTTTTCTTCATGAAACATCCCATGTAGTTTAGATTTTTCTAATGTACTTGACAGTTTCGTTTTGACGTTTATGTATATTTAGAGTACGGACATTCTGACCAGCAGAGACAGTCAGACATGTTAGAGTATTTCATACATCTATCTGTGTTTGGCGTTTGGGATTGTTGGCGTACACTCTTTATTGATACATGAATGAATCACTAAAAATATCAAGTAATTTATGGTACTAACTCGGTTGAACTCGGTCCCTGCTCGGGCGCCAAATTCGTAAGAAGAGTCTGTTATGCGATTTCATTCATTCATTCATTCATCCGTGTTTTGCGTTTAGCATTGTGAGCTTATTCGTTTAAATGATATATGAATCAATTGCGGTGTCTTATCTATAGTTATTCAGTCTGAGCTTTCACTCGCAAATGTACAAGTGTCTGTTATTATCCCCACCATTTGCCATTTCATCCATTTATCCGTGTTTTTGGCGTTTAGGATTGTTGGCGTATACTTTTTATTTTTTTTATTGATTTTCAAAATAACATACATTTCAGCATACCATATTAATAGTAATAAACATTTTTTTAATAAAAGCATGATAAAAAAAGTTGAAAACTTGGCCATGATCATTTGATTCTTTTTTCTTTCCACTAACTAACTGAAATTCATCTTCTCATTGAGTACAATTTACACAATGAATACATATTCACAATCTCTAAAAATCATCTTTATTATTCCCAAGAAACAATAGACGTATATGTTTATAACAGGAAACAATAAAAAAATGAACCATAATATATTACATTACATTCAAAATATAGTATTTATAGGTATAATGATTATTCTAGTAATTCTGAGCAGATCCTTGTATGAGTATTATTTTATAGTAAAATTTCTGAATTCTCAATAAACCACGATTTAATTTTTTTCTTGAATCCAAAAAAACTGAACGATGAATGAATCGCGGTGTCTGTCTATTGAGATTATTGAGAGTTTTCCCAATGGGAATCACTAAAAATATCAAGTACTTTATGGTACTAACTCGGTTAAACTCGGTCCCTGCTCGGGCGCCATATTCGTTAAAAAGTCAAGTACAATATGGCCCTCTAATGTAGTCTAACGTGAAAAATGTCAATTCTCTGGCAATGATCCCGCAGAGTTATCCATCATTCGCGATGTCATTCATGTATCCGTGTTTGTCGTTTAGTATACAGGGTGGCATTGAAATAAGTGCAAATATTTCAAACACTGAGAAAGCTCGATGTGTACTATCGAATGGCACTAATAAAAACGTTTGAGGATCAAAATAAAAATTGAGGTTAGACCCCTTTTTCCTCCCAAAGTTCTACACTGTAGCAAAACTGACGTAACCTCTGTTCAAATTTCCATGCGGTAGGCACAATCACGCGGAGTTCAATCATTTGGAATGTTCCTTAGACTGTATCATATTAATGTGCTGAATATGTGCACTTATATCAAAAACACCTTGTATTGTTGGCCCGTACTTTTTAATGGTTCATGAATGAATCGCGGTGTCTATCCATCATTTTTCCGAGAGTTTCTCCGATGGTATCCGCTCGGTCCCTGCTCGGGCGCCATATGAGTAAGTTTAACGTGAAATTTCCACTTGTCCAGGTTGTGTCGGTCCCTGCTCGGGCGCCATATGAATACGTTTATCGTGAAATTTCCACTGTTTTCTTGGTCAGGTTGTGGGACATCGAATGCGGCGAATGTCTCAGGGTGTTGGAAGGCCACGAGGAGCTGGTCAGGTGCATCCGGTTCGATTCGAAACGGATCGTGAGTGGTGCGTACGACGGCAAAATCAAAGTGTGGGACCTGTTGGCGGCGCTGAACCCCAGAGCGCCCACCAGTTCCCTGTGTCTTCGTACGCTTGTGGTAAGGGTCGGCCTCACACGCCAGTTTTTTCGTTTAATCTTATTGTTTTTTGTTTATATATATTGATGATTTATTTGATCTATTCAATGATATATTCGATTCATTCACTTCATTAAATTATTTGATTTATCAATTATAATTTGATTTACTTCATTCATTCAATTCTCGATTTTATCTATCTTGATTCATTTTAATTTTTATAATTTATTCAGTTCATCCAATTCTAATTTTTAAATTCATTCAATTAATTCAATTCATTGAATTTAATTTATTCAGTTCATTCATTTTTATTCAATTTATTGAATTCATTCAGTTTATAATTTTTGTATCGTTCAGTTTAATACGATTATTCCAATTTTTCAATTCATTCAATACTATCAATTTCTTTCGTTTTATTCATTATTTCATTAATATCATTCATTATTTTATTCATTCTAGTCATTTTATCTAAACTACGCAACACTAATTATTTCGTCGCACCCCAAAATTTTGTCCCTGTTAAAATATGAATAACTTTTTTCTGCTTTGAACAATTTGAATTCGGATTACACTGTTCGCTAGCCCAGTCCTTCAGCTATAATCTCGCACTTCTTTAAAACATGAGGTTTTTCATATAAAATCGCTACAGGGTGTCACCTGAAACTGTGAAACATTTCGGAATTTTCAAAATGATTCCAAATGAACAAGAACTATTTTTTTTAAACTTCGACAGCAGAGGCATGAAGATGATCTCATTACCTAGGGACAGACAAATTGTCTTCTTATCTCTTTTATTCACAGTGATCTCAAAAAATTTACTTTCTGGTTTTGTAGTCATAACTTTTTTCCTTGTCAACTCGTTTTTAAAATCTCTTTTTGAAGCTGAAACTTCAGATGAAGAGACATGAAGATCAGAATTGACTCAAGATGAACATTATACAGTGTGTCTCACTTCTAATGGAAGCAGCCCCCTGTATGTTCCGTAGTTGTTGAGTTAGGGTTCTGAAACTTACAGGAGCGGAAGATATATTGAAAATAACCATATGACCAAGTGGCGTCATCTCCACTGATAAACACTGCTCGCCAACAGCCATGGAACCACCCAAATTTCCGGAAAATGTTATTAGAAGCCAAGATAGGTTGAAAATCACTTCGGATTCGAAATCAGGACGTCCAATTCACTGACTATACATAGTATTCCTGGAAAATTTTCAGTTCAGAAAAATTGAATTTTGTCTCACTTCCCATGGAAGCACCCCCGTATCTCACCTAATTATTGGGGTAGGGTTCTGAAATTTGCAGGAGGAAGCAAAAAGGACGTCCTGATTTCTAATTCGAAGTGATTTTCAATATATCTTGCCTCCTTATATCATTTTTGTGGGTGGTTCCATGGCTGTTGGCGAGCAGTGTATATCACTGGAGACGACTCCACTTGGTCATAGTGTGTATTTTCAGTATATCCACCGCTATTGCAAATTTCAGAATCCTAACTCAACAATTACGGAAGATACAGGGGTGCTCCCATTCAAAGTGAGACACACTGTATAATGTTCATCTTGAGTCAATTCTGATCTCCATATCTCTTCATCTGAAATTTAAGCCTCAAAATGAGCCTGAGATTTCAAAAATCGGATGACGAGGAAAAAAGTTATGACTGCAAAACCAATAAGTTAATTTTTTGAGATCACTCTGTAAATAAAAGAGATAAGAAGACAATTGGAGAACTGTCCCAAGATAATGAGATCATCTATATGCCTCTACTGTCAGAGTTGAAAAAAAAACGTTTTTCTTCATTTGGGATACTTTTGAAATTTCCGAAATTTTGCACAGTTTCAGGTGACACCCTGTAGCGATTTTATGTGAAGAACTCTATGTTTTGAAGAATTACGAGATTATAGCTGAAGGACTGGGCTAGCGAATAGTGTGATCCGAATTCAAATCGTTCAAAGCGGAAAAAAGTTATTCATATTTCAACAGAGGCTAAATCTTGGGGTGCGACGAAATTAGTGCTGGGTAGTTTATTTCATTCATTGCATTAGTTCTAAACTTTAAATTCTTTCTATTTATTTTATTCGTTTCATTCCGTTCATTCGTTTAATCAGTCTCAGTCCTTCCATATTATCTTCGTGTTTTTTTTTAATTTCGGCCAATTTTTTGGATCCGATTCTGCGCTTGAGTTCCCTCATGTTTGCCAACAGGAGCATACGGGACGCGTGTTCAGACTCCAGTTCGACGAATTCCAAATCGTCAGCAGTTCTCACGACGACACCATCCTCATCTGGGACTTTTTGAATTCCATACAGGAAGGCAAAAGCAGCCCGAAGAGTAATAACGATACCAGATCTCCATCCCGTAAGTAACTGCATGTTGTTTTTTTTTTCACACGTCACCTTTTCCTGTTGAAGTAAATTTGAGCGTTTTCTCAAATTCCAATAATTGCCGAATTCTCAGTTGAAAGTCGTAAAATTTCGCAGGGATTCCGACTCTATGTACACAAATTTTTGTCCTAGATGCAAAGGATAACGAGGTAGTATATTTTCCCTGAAGATTTTCAAAAATTGCTAATTTTGCATTGGAAACCATCTAGGCGCACATAAAATGTCACGAGGATACCGAATCTATACATATTCTTGTCCTAAATCAGGGAGAAACAGAAGATGGTTAGAAATTCCAATCAAATCCCATCTAGTGTTTTTCGGTCAAAGTTCTTGACCTACCGCCTACTTGACAGAAGGAATCTTTTCAATATCGCTGAATATCGGTCGCGTTTTAACCGTTAGATGGCGAAATAACAACCAAAATTCAAGGTTGGTAGAGCTGATGATGATTAAAATTCCCCAAAATTAGTTTCGTACTTTCAGATGTAATCTCATTTGATTTGAGGTTATGTTAAGAATGTTATGATATTATAAGATTCTAAATGGAGGCATCGTAGATAGACACAATTTCAACACTCAAACACTTTTTTTTTCACTCAGGACGGCTTGTACAGGGTGAACAACTAAGAACGGCTGTCGGCCATATCTCAGCAACGAATAATGATACAAGTTTGAGATAGTTAGATTGATAAATCTCAACAGACCAACGAAAACCGCAACATGACAGCTTTTCGCCAACGGAAGATATGAAATATTGAAAGTTGAAGAATGATATAACAGCCGTTCTTAGTTTTTCACCCGGTACAAAGATGACTGTTTATAAAAATACATCGACAAGTGATTGGTTCTGATGCTACGATGCTAATGACTAAACCTGCCTCAATCGTCGATCACAAGATCACACGTCGCTAACAATATTATTATTTCTGGTGCGAGCATTGTGTAAGCGCCGTTTTCTGTTTTCTGTCATGAAAAGAAACTGTAAAAATATACCACTATTGCGGAATCTGTGGTCAAGAGTTTTGGGAGAAACAAAACACTGTCTGTGATTACACCATATTCTATCCACCTTTAGATCCGAAGGATCAAAGTTGCCAATTTTCCATCTAGGTGCACGTAAAATGTCACGAGGATTCTGAATCTATGAACAGTTTTATTTTCTGTTAGCTACTTTGTATTGTATTGTACAGAAAACTACTTTCCTGGCTATATGCCACGTCAAACATTAAATTATATCTGTTGAACATCCAAAATGAAAATCCTCTGAAATTGAGAATTTACATTCAGCCATTCTTCATGATATACACAATTTTCATCTCTATAGAATATAACGAACAAACATCTGAGAATTATTTGTTGACATTTAATCCCTGTCATCTGGTTGTTTTTGTTTGATTCTCTTCTTTCTAAAAAAAAAAACGTTTTCTCATTCATACTTTCAATGCTTTCTTTTTAGCGTTTACCTACGAATGAATCTCCGCTAGTACCTAGACAAAGTTGAAAAAAACTCTCCGATTCTCGCGCCGACTTCCAAAAGTTCTCCCAGGATGGTGTGATATACGGGGTGGAGTGATCGAGAAGTACGTTTCGTTCCGAACGATTCGTTGATGACGGCGAAAAATCTCGAGTAACTTGTTGATTTTTGTGGATAATATCGAGCTGGCCCATTGATACTGAGTCTGCTAGACGTAGATGCGTTCGGTTGTGTGGGAAAACGAGGTTGGCTGGTTTTCGATTTTCCCAGCTACACAAAATTTGTCGATTTTTGATGACAAAGAACACGCGATAATTATTTCCGCGAAATGTAAATATGACTTTTTTGAATGACACCCTGTAGATTATTTTCAGTTTTCTAATCCGAAATTACTTTTCCAAGGATGTACCACAGTGGAAAATATTTTGGCGTACCTACCTTGACAACTTTTCAACACTTTGAACCGTGAAAAATAGCATAAAAACGACTGAAGTTTTTTTGCTCGAAATCAGAAAATGGCTGCCTTGTTTTCCCCGGTTATGAAAATGTGGAAACTGAAGGTTTGGGTCAAGTTACCCCCGTCTACATTTGGCAAAAAAACTGGGAATAAAGGGCGGTTCGATGTGGAATGGTGAAATTTCCAAAAAAAAAAATGTATCCATGACAAAGGCACCATTCTTATGTATCATATTTGAACTTTTATGTAATTGTATTATAAGAAATGTTCGCACTTGGAGGTGGTTGTAAGAGTGATTGTATACACAGAGTGTTGAAAATTCGTGTAGATTCATGGAATTGAAAAATAAATAAAATTACTCGAAATTCGATCGTACGAAATAACGCCAAGATTTTTTTTTCATTAAAAAATATAATTGCAAGATTCTTTTGTCAGTTGAGCTCAATACAAGAATTACCTGGCAATGAAGCATTAATTGACACATCAATTCTTATTTGTTAGATAAATCTTGCAATTGGTTATTTTGAATGACAAAAAATGATTTTCTCGTCGCTTCCAGACTAATTGACAAATTAATCTTGCAATTATTCGAATTGCAAGACTAATCTGTCAATACTTTTGATTGCAATATTATAATTGGTCAATTGGGATGAAAAAATAGTATTTCTCCTTCATAATCATAATTACAAAGTTATTAGGCTAATTGCAATAATTATAATTACAAGATCAATCAGTGGCGGCTCGTGACTTCCATGACAGAGGAGGCTGAATGATATGGGATTTATTGTGAAAAACAACTCTCTACGACTCACCCAAATCAATAGCTTTAATGACATTCTGTTTACCAGTTAACCTGAACTTAATACTTGAAGAGATGTGTTCCTGTGATTTGCAGTGTCTATTCAATCCGCGAGGCAAATTTTTCAAATCATTATATCCTAATCGCCCCCAACATGATGACTGATCGGTTGAAAATGATACGCAGTACGAAAAAAATAGCTTATTCATTACCTCAGATCCCGTCAACCAGATATATTTTTAATAATTATCAGAATTGAACAAACAATTTTGTTTGTTACCTGTTACAATCAGATCTTTTAATTCCGGTGTCGGACGTTTGTTTGTCTCAATCTATTTATCTTCATAAGACAAAGCATTGAGTGGGTTCACCAAAAAGTATTCCACTAAATGGCAATCGTTTGAAACACTCATTTTTCAGAAATTTATAGAGCTCCTAACCATTAACCTAACATAAACATAAACAATGCACTCGCGATTGTCCGCAATTCGCGACGAGACACGACCACGACAAACACGTGTTATTCGGGCGTATTCGGGCATTTGCATTGCGCGCTAGGGTTGCGCATTGTGAAGGAGTCTAGCCTTATCCTTATTGGCGAAAATATAATTAATCTTGCAATTATCGTAATTGATTATGTTATAATCTTGCAATTATAATTATTGCAATTAGCTTAATTGACAGAATTTTCTTGCAAATTTGATTTTAAACAAAAAAAAATGTATCAATGGAAAAAAAATTCAGTGCGTTCTTTCGATTATGAATGGTATTTTCGAATTTAATTTTTTTTCTTGTGAATTTGACACTATGTTTGGGAAAAAGATAATGTGCCCAATGGATTGCACTGAACAAGTTCATTTTTTTTTCTTTTTGAAATCTTTTCCGACATTCGACAACCCTGGTACTAAATTTTGAGTGCAATATTACTGATAACCTGGAAATGTATCAGGGGGAGCAAAAAAAAAATTATTACTGAAATGTTCTGGAAATTTTTGACTAACAATGACACGAAAATGGATAGTATCAAAAATATTCAATTTTTTTTTGTTCAATCAAGTTTTAGTCGATGAAAATTCTCATCAAAGTAATCTCGATATACAGGGTATGAGTTTTGCCTGCTTGATACATTCACATTATCTTTTTTCTCTATGTCTTAACTGTAGAAATCTTACATTGTAGTTAATTTTAAGGCGAAAAATGAAACACAATGAAATATTAGAATATTATACGTCTATTTGTTGAGTTAACGTTTTTATATTGAATATTTAAAAGAGCTTTTTCTCAGTGCGACCTAACTGGTTTAGGTTGGAAATTTATGAGGAGCGTAATTTGAATTGATGTGAAGAAGTTGAAGAAAAAATACATAATTTCAAAAAGAACCTATGGTATTTTTTTCACCAACTAGGATTTATATTCACAATATTTTTTTCATAATGACTTAGAACAGAAGTATATAATAAAAAAACAATTAGGTTATTCCAGACTATAGATTTGACTCTTTCAACAATTATTATTATTCCGTTCGAAAAAAGAAAATATTTTCTTGATTGGTTTCCAAGATATTGAGTGTTGAAAGTAGTCATTCGTTCTTATCAAATCTTATTTCTGTCTAGTGAATAATCATCAGACAATTTGATACAAAACTAGCTTTGATATAGAAAAAAATATGGGTTCCAAGGTAATATAATGGAGATTCTCTATTGGTAATCGAGTTGATGATACTAATAATGGGAAGAAACGGAAAAGGTCATTTTAACCTCGAAATACTTAAAGGTTAGGATAGGTTAGGTTAGGTCTTCTCTATTTCTTTTCATTCTTAGTGTCACCAACACACAATTTTCCTTATTTCACGTTGAAAAAACATCTTTTTATCTCTCACTCCTAGCTGACACTTCTTCTTGACTATTGGACTAAGTGACAAAAGTCTCAAAAATTGAATTCTAACCTTATTTCAAAAGATACTAATGATTTCTGAGACCAAATTCAGATTCTTGAGCCCAACTTCTATAGCAAAAATCTAAACGGTGCAGCTACAGGTTGCCGAACAATTTTCGTCACTCGGGTGCCATTTTGCATGGAGATACAAGAAAATAAAAGTGACATTCTCGATATCTTTTTTTACGTGATTGTGTATGATGACGACAAATTGAAGTTTAATTCACAACTCGAGAATTCGTCCCAAAAAAATAGATCAAGAATGCTCCTTCCAATTTTTTCATATCCTATATAGATACCGAGTTATCATATACAAACGTACGTACAATTTTTTTTTAAATAGAGAAGATGAAATTGACCAATTGATGATAAAACAATCAAAAACAATATACAGGGTGTCCGGAAATTATGCGCAAAAAATCAAAGGGGTGATTCTGCATGAGAAAACATGAAATTTATTTCATATACAGTGTGTTCCACTTACCATGCTCACCATGGGTATCTTTTTAACGGTGAGAGATACGAGGTCGGTTAAATGACACCAAATGTGGAGTTTGTCAAGGCCAACTATGATGTGAAAAAATATTTTGATAAAATCTATTCGTTTTTGTTTTGTACGCAAAAAACAGATTTTGATCATTTTCATGTCTCCTCCGTAACTTCTTTATTTATGAAAATATTCAAATAGGAATTTCACATCCTCATGGCAGTTTTTCAAAGTGATTCCGAAAAAAATATGAAATTTATACCAACTCTTCTAGAATTTGAGATATCAGCACCAACTTTAGTTTTTCAAATGTAGGTCATAGCTCACTTTGACTTAGTTACAAATAACTTTTTTTTCTCTTTCAGATGATATGTCGCAGTAATAGTTTTGTGTTGATAACAACGGAGTTATCGTCATTTATACAAAAATAAAAAATTATTTGGAAGCCGCTATCTTGAATTTATGAATTTCAACGGAAAAATCATGATCTCCGACCTCAAAAACCCCCACTTACTAATTTTGAACCGAATCGGACCAAATCTTGTCCGCCATCTTGGAGCAGCCATTTTTTTTAATTTCAACAAAAAATCCATAACTCCGATTAACTTGAAATTTGGCAGGAGTTCATAATTTCGGTGACAATACATTATGGAATTTTTGTTGAAATTAAACAAAATGGCTGCTCCAAGATGGCGGACAAGATTTGGTCCGATTCCATTCAAAATAGGTAAGTGGGGGTTTTTGAGGCCGGAGATCATGATTTTTTTGTTAAAATTTATAGATTCAAGATGGCGGCTTCCGAATAATTTTCTGTTTTTGTATAAAATAACGATAACTCCGTTGTTATCAACACAAAACTATTACTGCGACATATCATCAGTAAGAGAAAAAAAAGTTATTTGTAACTAAGTCAAAGTGAGCTATGACCTACATTTGAAAAACTAAAGTTGGTGCTGATATCTCAAATTCTAGAAGAGTTGGTTTAAATTTCATATTTTTTTCGAAATCACTTTGAAAAACTGCCATGAGAATGTGAAATTCCTATTTGAATATTTTCATAAATAAAGAAGTTACGGAGGAGACATGAAAATGATCAAGATCTGTTTTTTGCGTATAAAACAAAAACGAAGAGATTTTATCAAAATATTTTCCACATTATAGTTGGCCTTGACAAACTCCACATTTGGTGTCATTTAACCGACCTCGTATCTCTCACCGTTAAAAAGATACCCATGGTGAGCATGGTAAGTGGGACACACTGTATACTTGGGTCCAGAAATGCACAGTTTATGTTGAATTATGCATTTCCGGACCCACGTACATATAAAATGAATTTCTTATTTTATTATGTAGAATCACCCCCTTGATTTTTCGCGCATCAGTTCTGGACACCCTGTATTTTATGAGAGAACCATAATAGAATTTCCACCAACAATCAAAAATCAGTTACGCTCAACTTAGTTCCTGTTAGATTGTTGTTATTTGAGTGACTCTATTATTATTATTGTAAAAAAAGGTAGCTAACTATGGCTTTCAGGTAAACTATCAACATTTGTCAGTATTTCTCAGCTGTGAATTGTTTGACAGTTCATTGCCACTTTTCAACAGTTT